CACTGCTTTCGAGTGGGTAATTTATATAAAATTCTCATTTTCCACATTTCATTTCGACAGCATATATCTAGAAAAGAATACCTCTTTTTTCTTCAGTAGACAGATACATGTATCTAGTTCGTCGATATCTATCTTTTTATTAACCCTCAATGATGACAGGGGAAATACTTGTAAACAAATATTTTTTTCCCCTTTAAAATAAAAGTTTCCTTTAATGTTTTCTAGTGTTAAACAATTTAATATCGTCTGCAAATTTATTTTCACTCATATTTCACTTACAATTTTCAATCTTAAGTAGAAAATATTATTCGTTTTTTTCTTACTTCTTGTTTGCTTTCGAATTTCTGCTACTTTAGATAACTTTTCCTGAAAATTATTTTTTTAATATTGACGAGTTAGTGCACCAAGAAAAAGTGTACAGTAAAAACTATTCAGAATAGGGTAAAATATACCGTGTTTTTGGTGCTATGAAAACAGTGCTGTAAATTTTACTAAAGCATTTTGATAATGATTTTAAGTAAAATTAATTATAAAATATGATTTTATTACCATGCTGTTTGGTAGTAAATATGGTAAAATTTGGTAATTTTATCACAATACCTTCGAGCCTAAAAACATTCATGGTTAAATCTTTTTTTTTCAGTTTTATATTTTGATTAAATGTGTGGTATTGAGAACTATAGTTTTAAAAACCAGAATCTCTGGTAAATCTTTACCACACGAACGGAAAATTTCGAAATGAATGATTTTAACTATCGTATATTATATTTGTTTTATTTAAATATCATTACTATGCAATAGCGTAAATTTTACCATTTTTTTTTTCTTAGAGTGATGCATCATCTATTGACTATAAATTTAAAATCACGACATTATGAGAAGCCCTAATTTGCGAAAACAATGCTAATTGGTTTAAGAAATTACGGAAGGCGGTAGCTTTTTGGGAATTTGAGAACGATCACAAAAAATACTGGTCGATCCAGATTTTTCACAAAAACTCCCGTTTTAGTAAGCATGTTTATATGGATAAAAAAGGATCTGTTTCGCTGAATAAAAAATTCAAACATTCCAAACACGACCTAACATTGGACAAAGTTAATATAGCGAAAATAATTTTAAAAATATTTCTTAATGAATGCTGTAATATCGTTATCATTATCACTCGGTAGTGATATTCATGAAACTACTTTATAAAAATTATCATGGCAACAATCGAGGAGGATAATTTCCGACAAACAAAATAAAACAAGAAATCGAATTTGAAAATAACGCGATAATTATTAACAGTGATAATAACATGCATGTCTATTCTTAATTTTATGACAAAATATTACATTTTTGCAATTAATAATTATTTTTTAAAAATATGGTTATTAAAAACATTTAAAAAATATAAAAGTTTCCTTCAAATATTTTTTTAAGAAAGTTGTCCAAACTAAAATTAATATATGGGAAAGTCAGACAACAGGAACCTTAATATTTCTTATTTACTTAAAATTCTCCATGAAAAAACGTCATTTATTTGCATGTTAAAATACTTTGGATTAAAAAAAATTATTAATAGTAGAAAACCATATTTGGGAAAATCGAAATCTTTCTTATCGATCTTCCAAAATCGTGTGTGGTGACAAACAAATAGATTTTCATTCATCTCTAAATAACAGTGTGCCTGTCCGAAATAAGTTTCATCCCATTTTTGATAATAAGCAGCAATATATTAAGAGCATTGGTGACTCAGGGGATAGAGTGCTAGCATTCCAAATAGGGGAACCGGGTTCGAATCCCAGTGATGATTGGCCGACTCGAGTTACGCAACCCGCTTGCACTGATTACAGTGTTGATGTAGAATATGTAGAATTGTAGAATATGTAGATGTAGAATATGTAGATGTAGAATATGTAGATGTAGAATATGTAGAATGATGTAGAATTCCTCAGTGATAGACAGGTCAAGGGTTATAGTCCCCTTGCCTTCAGGCAAACTGTGGGAGGTTTTCCACTCCATGTACCTCGCCATGTAGGAGTTTATAAGTATCTATTTAGTTACATCAAAAAGTCCTCCACGAAGGCACATTTCTCCCAAAACCTAATCCAGGAGTCCCCTTGTTTCAAGGGTATGGAGTTGAACAATGATAGTCGTAAACCTAAAATTAGGTCAGCAGTTCAATGATGATTATGAAATAAAATAGATAAGTAAGAGAATACCGGTAATCAGTTTTATCAAACTGCCTATTTGGCAGTTCTTTTTTCAGTAAAAAATCAACATATCAATATTTTCTTAAGACTTATCACAGTATGATAAGGCCTTGAACGCCACAGTACTTTCTGTCACATAAATATACAATTCATCCCTTATATTTACTTCATATATGCTAATGACTTCCTTTCTCGGCATTCAAATTTTGGCAGCTTTCTCTGAAAATAAACTCTTAATTTGAATATAAAATCAGCCACATGAAGAATTAATTTATGATAAAATTTAAATTTAAAAGTAACGAATAAGTATTTCCTCTTAAAATGAATTTTAAGTATTGCTATTAAAAGTTTTATCTTGGCAAAATTAAATTATTTTCTTGCTACATGTATGCGTTGCTATAGGAGTCAACCTTCAAAATCGCCGAAAGACAATCTTTAAAGCTCTAGACAATCCTGTAGACAAGAACTTTTGTATATTTTCCCCTTTTTTTGCAAAACTTTTTTGTTCAATATAAACTCTTATTGCAATATTATTTTTATTATTATTCCTATTATATTTCCTATTGTATCTTGCGGAAAACTTTTGCTTATCGATCGTATTTGCTTATTGTTTGGTTTATATATTTATTTTGAACATCTTTATTTATAATTCGAAATGCAAAAAAACAAGAAAAATAAAGAAATGTGACTTTATTTTGAAAAAATAATCCAAGAAAAAATGTCATTACTATATATTATAAACTATTTGCTAAAAAATTGAAAATCTTGTCCATAGATGATATTAAAAGATTTGTTATTCATATTTCGCAGCAATTTCATATTTATAGTTGCCTTAATGTAATATTTGTTTGATGTATAAACACAATATGAATTTATTTCGTACAGCTGAAAGGGTATAATTTAAATCTAAACGCTTAAAGCGGGATGAGCTTACACCAAAACACTCACTAAGTAGTACAAAACGAAAGTTAACAAGCAAAACCAGACTTAACCACAAAACAGGAATTAACATTTTCAGAAAACACTTTCGAAAACACTAATGTTGGCTCAATTTGAATGCTGTCTCTAGATTGTTTATAGTTGAATAAAAATTGGAGCGAGACACTGGAAATCTTCCACACTGCTAGGCATCAACCAAAACAAAGAAGTTTCCGTAAAAATAAGTATTCATGTTTTTAGTTGGGTAATAAGGAAAATTAAAACTATTTCTTTAAATTTCTGTGAACTGTACTAATTGATTTTATCGTGGAATTTTCCTATCCGCTTCCGTTCTGTTAAGTCTAATTCAAATTCGTCTTTATATCTCTCTGTGCTACGAGTATATTTGTTTGACAAACTTATTTTATTTTAAGTATTAGTATTTTAAATTAATAATTCTAACTTTATATTGAATCGTAAAAATAACTTTACTGATTCGTATGTTTGTGTTATTTTACGGTAATTGTAAATTTTAAAGCTACTGAATACAAAAGGATAAAAAAGCTGGAGGCTTCTTTACACCTAGTAGAGGGACACTCAGTGAACCATTTATAGATGCCAAACCAGTGGTTAAATTGCCATAATTGTTGCCATAGTCCATAAACCACAGAATGACTCACATTCAATCATCTGGATACTTCTATCTAAATTTGTCCATCTTCTAGTCGTCCAATAGATCTGCATCGCAGTTCTTCAGACGAATGATGCCTGAAAGCCATTGCAAAACTTAAATATCTGAAATTTCGAACTTCGGAAAAAGCGAAATTCTCAAGCTTGCGTTCAAAGATACATTTTTATGCTCTTTGCAGATAACTTCATTCCAGTGAAGCGCCACTAATTTGCATGATGAAGCTGTACTTAGCAACTCTTATTTGACAACATGTTCAAATTTAATACGGATCGGCTTTACTTATTTGGGAGAGTGGTCGCTATTTTTTGTATTTTCTTCAATTTATGATAACTAGTGTATAAGCTTATAAGCCCTTCGAATTAATATTTTAGGGAACTTAATTTGTTCCTTATGATTGCATTATGTATTTACAGATATATACACCGAAGAGCCATTACATATTATGACCACCCTCAATCTATAACAAAGGTCTCGCCCAGGTTTTCATGGTTTCTCGCCCAGGAACAATGTTTTCATGGGGCGCATTAGGACCCATAATCCTCATAGAACAATCCCTGACGTCTGTAAGCTACTTGAACATAGTTGCGGACCAGGTTCCCGCATTCATGGCAACAGTTTTTCCTGCGTGTGATGGTGTTTACCAACAGGATTATGCACCATGTCATAAGGGTCGAATCGTCATGGATTGGTTCGAGGAACATTCCAGTGACTTTCAAGTCATGTCTTGGCCCCCAAATTCACCTGACCTTAATCCAATAGAGCATTTGTAGTCCTACTTGGAAAACCAAATCCGTGTTGCCACGCTAACCCCTCGCAATGTGAGGGATTTGCATGACCAGTTGGTGAGCGCTTGGTACCAGATACTTCAGACTACCTATCAGCGCCTTGTGGAATCAATGCCACGGCGGGTGCTAGCAGTTTTGAGGGCTAAAGGTG